TAATCACCAAAGAGGTTGCACTATATATCTAAAGTACCGAAAAATTTTCCAAGAATTTTAGGAAATTCATGATTTCGAAAATTCTTAATTTTTTGAAAATTATTTTTTATTACCATTATTTTACAAATATTGTTTTATCTGTGCAAGAAATATAGACGAACGGAATGAGGCAACGCATAGATATTGGCGTTGAAAATATACATGCTGGGATGGAGGAGGGATCGTTATTGCGATTTGAGGGATGAATTCGTTCATCACACTCGTCGATACTACTGTCACAAACTGTGTTTATTTTTATCATTAATGTATATTATTTATTATAAATAAGTTAGAAACATTGATTTTGATAGGTGTTTACAATTTTATACACAGAGAAAGAATACCCAACATATTTTTACGCTCCCAGAAGGGTGATGTACGCCTCCTGACGAAGGAGAGATGATTTACAAATGAACCTAACAGCCCCTTGGAGACTCTTGCACGTCGTTTGCTCGCCGGTTTCTCGGTTAGGGTTGTACAAAGCCTAGTAGTGGATGCAACCGATCTCCTTTTGTGTTTTCTCGATAAAGTATCTCTCACACACGCACAATAAAAATCACTCCCTCTCTTTTCTTCCGTCTTTGCCTCCTCTCTCTCTCTCTCTCTCTCTATTCTCGCCAACCCCTCTCTCCTTTATTTTTTTTCTTTCGTGAGTGTACGCTCACGCAATTGCACAAATATGCACGCATACGTATGCACAGAGACGCATCCAATAATGCGCATACATACACACATTCACACACACACGCGCGCACGCACATACACGCGTACACACATTCTTTTCCTCTCATTCGCTCATTCATATTTCTCACTAGAATCATTTTTGCACTTCGTGTCCTGCATACGCGGTTACCTCTCCGTCCCTCTCTGCCATCATCCGTTTAGTCACGCGCTCTCAATGAAAACCAAGCAGTATTACTATTATTAATTATTATTACTATTATTATTATTTTATCATTATAATTATTATATTTATTATTATAATTATTAATGTTATTATTCAATATTATTTGTTGGTATCCGCTTAATATATATTATCCAATGTATTTATATATATATTTATATATATATACTTTTTTTTTTCTTTCATATAAACTCAGTGTTCCAACCAAGGTGGGTGTGACACAACTAAGGTATATGACACATACTGCCCGGTGTATGTGCGTGCGCGACGCCGGCGCGAGTCCGGTGACGTTCGGGCCGCTGCGAGCCCGCATCGTGCCCGAACGGGAAACCACCCAGACTCGGCCGATGTCACGTAGAGAGGATCGTCTCTCTATCACGCGCGCGACGTACTCTCCGGGTTCGCGCGCGGCTCCCGCAATCGTTTATCCGTCGCGATTACGCCTAATGAGACCGCTCTCGACTCGGGGAAATCGTCTCGTAAACACGTCTCGTGAGCAGAGCTAATCTTTCACCCCTTCGCGTTTCCACCCACGAAACAAAAACAAAAAAAACCCAGCAAGGTCCGGCTTGTCATTTCTCCTCGTGGTCTCCGCGCGTCGTCGTAATTCTCTCTTCGCGACAAGATCTTGGATTTTGGAAAACGAGCGAGGCGAGAAGAGGAAGTCTTTCGTTACTCCACCACTGACAGCGTACACGCGTGTTCGTGAAATTTTGTTTCTCCCCTATGTTATTTAGCTATCCCGTTCATTTTCCAATAGAGAGAGAAAAAAAAGAAACGTTTCATTCAAAATCTCAGTCTCGCCTCTTGCCTCTTCCTCCCGCGCTTTCCTCTCGGCGAATGTTTCGCGGCTACTCTATCACACACCAATTTGCAGCGCTTCTCCCCCTAATTTCTCAGCTTCAACGTTCCACCGACCACCTCCTCTCTCGTTTCTCATTCGTTTACTTCCACTCGCGGGGAAGGAGGGAGGGAAACAAAAAATCGCGGCTTTCGAGAAGAGATATCGAACCGTCGGAGAGTACGCGAGCAACGGGCAGCGCGCTAGCCAGCAATATGACCGAGCGCAGGCAGTGAGCAGTTCATACGTACGTACACTGTATAATGTGGATACGGGACGAGCGAGAGGCATGAAGCCCCCCTCTTCCAGGGGAGAGGGGACCCATGTTCTTGGCTGCGCGCGGTGGCTGTGCCGTTGCGTCGGGAGGGCGAGGAACCCGACGAAGGGAGAACCGCGACGAACTCCTCCTTCCTCATCGCACGCTTAAGAGAAATTCACCCTCGAAAAGGCGCGGTCTCGACGGCGCTCGACTTTACAGGAAATTACTCGTTCGTAAAAGAAATCGAGACGAGATTTCCTCTCGTTTCCCCGAGAACGTTTCACCCGGGACCCACCCGTATTCTTTAAGGAATTCATCTCTGCAAGACGAAACCCCGTCGTTTTCCCGAGATGAATTCGTCCTTGCAAATCGGAATTCTTCGCTCTGAAGGGATTCGCTCAAGCAGCTCAAGGAACGTTCTCCTCGCGCAACCCGCACGCACAGCCGGCAGAGAGAGGAGACGGCAGAGAGAGATATCTGCGGGTTTCTCTCTCGCGCGCCTTAATTATACCTAACTCACATCGAACAGACGCAATTTCGCCACGCAGTATCTTTCGCTTCCGCAAACGCGAAGTTTCCTCTCAAACACCTCTCTCTCTCACACATACTCTCTCCCTCGTATTCGTTTTTTTTTTTACTTTCTTCCTCCTCTCTCCCTCTCCGCCACGGCTGCTGGTATCTTTCACTCTTTCTCTTTCTCGCTTTCTCTCTCTTTCTCTCTCTCTCCCTCTCTCGCGCTCTATAATCTATGTTTCTCATTCTTTTTATATATTATATATAACAATATTTATATGATGAATTTTTTTTTAATAGATTCGAGTCACATGCAGAAAGAACTTTGAGTCGTTTCTGGCATGGATAAAAAGGAAGAAACAAAAACACTTTGGCTTTCGCGTAAACTCTCTTAAACGAAGGATGTTCTCATAATTTAGCGTTTAGTACATTTGAGAAAAAAAAAAGAAGAAAAAAGAACAAGAAGAGAAAGGAAAGATGAAAAGAAAAACAACAACACCACACTAGTAAATGGCACTAGAATTGCTCTCACTTGTGTCATCGAATCTAATTCGCGATTAAAAAGCCCGTTTATTTTATTTTATTTCTTTTTTTTTTTTTTCGTTCGCTCGCCACGCCGTTTCGCCTCTTCAGTTTCTTCTCCTCTGCTGAGATCTCTTGGACTCGAGACGAACACAGACGGACGCGCCGTTTAAAAACCCACGCGGCACAGCCGCGCCGTGCGCCACGCTCACGCGCGTGAGACATATATAGTTCGCCGTCGTTCGTTCGTTCATATATATATATATATATATATTATATATATAAAAGTCAGACAACGATGCCCGGGACCTTCAGGTATTGACGCATCCTCGGCCCGGGAGTGGTGTATATTTTGCCCGCAATATCGACTAAGAACTAATCTACAAAAGAAAGGTAACAAATCCCAAAACGGGAACCGGTGTACGAGAGAACCGAATCGACTCGCGTGAGCTAGTATCGACAGTGAAGAGATATTTCCGCTCTTTTTCTTCATACATATCCCTCTTCCTCCGCTAAGAAAAAACAACGCGTAAACGCTCGCGACGCTTTTTAGGTCCTTTTTTGTCCGCCTTCTTATACATCTCGACCCGCTTTTACGTCCCTCCATAATTACGTGCGTTATTACGCGTCTTAGCTATACTCTTGCGCTGGTACTGCACACTCTCGATGCGACGAAGCTCAACGCGGCGCAAACGCACGTGTCGATATATGTGCGTTTAATGCATGCGTATACGATGGCACCACGAGTTTCTGTCTCGCGCCTCTTCGCCGTTTTCCTCACGTCGTTCCACGGATTCACGCTCGCGAGTCAACGGAGTAGTAGTCTCGCACTGATACATTGGTCAGGGTGCGAGAGAAACTGGTCGAGTCCGCTTGGATTTGCAGCGCGTTTCGCCGTCTAAACCAGATTGTACTCCTTCAGATTGGACTGCAGAATGGTGTCCTTCACCGCCGCGAACACGAATCTGATGTTCTCCGTATCTGCGGAAACAGAAAGGGCGCGTGTTCAAAATACCAGAATGTATCCTTAAAGCTTGTTTAAATTGGTTGCATAAAGCACTGTTCGGTATATACATGATACGAATGATTTTCATTCCTTTCAAAGTTAAAATTCTCAACTTGTCGTTGTGACTTGTAATTTAAAGACTTCTGAGACTTTCAATACACATATGTATATGTTAAATATTCTTAAAAGATTGACATTGAAACTTAAGGTACTAATAATGGTGGGCATGTATTATTTGTAAGTATATCACATCATGCTGGTTATTGACTAACATAAGTTATTGAGATCCTTAATAACATTTCAGGATATCATTAAGGATCTGCCTTGAAAGGATTAACACATCAAAGTTGCGCGAAACGGAGATCGGCACTTACCCTAAGCAAGAAGCTTCAAACCCTGGACAGTCATGACACACATGCAGCATGCAATTCCCTTCGAGATACTTTTTGTAGCAATACGAGAGAGAAATCATAAACATAGTATAATTTCTTTTTCGATACTTGTTTTAAAGAAACTCAAGTAGTTAAAAATTAATAATGCAAAATGAAAGGGGTAGCATTTCGTTAGTAGATTTAAAGTATTAGAATAATGCACAATATAGCATAAAATAATTTACCTTAGAATATATATAGATATTAAATATTATTTCATTAAAGTCGAAGTATTGGAAAATACATACACGTATAATAATTTTACAGTCATAAAAATATTGTACACGAGTATATTCATGTACACGACGTAAACGAATGGAATCTTAATCACAAATAGTAGAATATTCTATTCTTGCCAGACTCTATGGTAATATAATAGACATAATAAAAATATCGCAGGGAGCCTTTGTTTATTACAAAGGCATATTAGCAACGCAATGTTGCAAGAAATGGATTAATTTTAGCAATCATTATTAGAGCGAACATCAATTGCTATATTCCTTTTATTTAGGGGTTTTACAAGGCTTTGATAACATATTTTTACTTAACGTATATTGTAATATGTTGTTGTCAACGTTAAAGCTGGCAGTTATTTTCGAAATTTTCGAAAGTAAAATTGTATTCGCAGCCGACGACCAATCGCCGAGAATGACACAGACTTAAACTCCGGAATAAATTTTAAAGAGTAACATATAGTAATCTTTGATAAACGATCCATAATAATTCGTTCTTTGCAATAACATCTGTGAGGCAATCGCTGTGATATCTGACTATACTCCAATATAATGCTCGTTGGTCAAAATTATACTAAGTTTTGTCATAAATCTATTGCACAAGTCTACGTCATTCTTGGTGTCCAAATATTGAATAATATCGTCAAGAATCTGCGTACACACTAAAATCTATACAGTTATCTATAAGTCGCGTTAAGCAAGATTAAACTCCTTAAGCGCGGTTTGCATGATCGTATCCTTAACAGCGCAGAATACAAGCTTGATGTTTTCCGTATCTGATGGTTAATTCCATGAACGCAGCATGCAAAATATAAATCGGGCATCATTGAGATTGATCAGCACCGTTTTATGCCTTTGAAAAATCAACCTGATTTATCGAGATTTTGATAAAATCAACCGAATTTATCAATATTTACCTTATTTTAATACCTTCTTCTAATATATCATAATAATCTAGTAATTCAGTAAAAACACTAAGAAATATATACACATTTATAAAATTATGCATACAACTGCACAATTAATATTTACATTAAATGTAAATTGAATTGAATTGATTTGGAAGATTAGAATTGTCGCGTCAAAGGCGACTAATATGTTATTTGAAATTTATCTGACTTCTCTACGCATTCATTTCTTTCTTTAATAAATAATTATACTTTATTGAGTAATATTTTAATATTGCTTGAAGTATAACTTTTCATTAAGATGTCTTTCATACATAAATGTAGGTTGATTTTTCCATGATGCACTTATAACATTTGATTACACACCTGATCATACGGGAGGCAGGCAACATACAAGCTCTGTACAAGGCACAACACATCGAAGAACTGTTATAAAGCGAAAGAAATACGGTATTTTTACGGTACATGGGAGTTATCAAGAGGCTAGCCTACCTGTGGCACACGTAAAGTGGGAATAAATAATCTTCTCAGTGTCCGGATTCAAGTCAACAAACATCCTCAGAATGAATTCTCTAGCTTGTATAGCGTCTCTCTGCCGACCTGCGAAATACACAAGCGAGGGAGGGGCATGGCATTACTTCCGTTTTATCTACAAAGCGGTAATGTATTGCGAAATATTTCTTTTTCTAGCAGTCACTTAACAACGAGGCGAATTAATTGGTATCGCATCGTTGAGGTTTTTTTTTTGCCAGGTGTACGACAAGAATAAGCTGGAATCTGGCCAAGAAGTCTTTCTTTCGCGTGTGTAACGGAATTTCTGTGTTTTACAAGTGTTCTACAAGACAGTGCGTGAATCTGCATTCAGGAAATGTGTCGCGCGACATCGGACATTTTGCTCATGTGCACGGCACAACGCGAAATGCAGACGGATATCGATCTATTTTAATGGAATAATGTTGTACTCAACGCAAATCCAATATACGCTCTCCAAGGACAGCTTATTAAATTAGTCGTAGTGAACATCAAAGAAGCCCTTCGAAAGCCTCATCAATAAGCTAGAGAGCTTATGTAAGAACACCGAGTACAATTTTGCAAATTCGAAACAGTTGCTCACACGTTGTAGCTCGTAATAAGATCTGAAAATCCCTCATCGCGAATTAAGAATTTCAGTTTGACGTAACTAGCACTAAATGTGTGTATGGTGTGTGCGTGTGTATGTGTGTGTTCAATAATTAATGATGTAATACAATTGTAAATTACAACGCAGGATGCGACGAGCGTTTTGATTAATGCTATTGGATTAACTAACTTCAATCTACATATGAGTTAATTTTGTATCAAGATTACGCGCTACTGATTATCGCAAATTACGCGCAGAAGTATGGATATAGGTTTTGGTATGTATAATAGGTATTGGTGTATATTAAATAGCTTTGCAAATAGATTACTACTAATTAACAGATAATAATAAATGAACGCGAATTCAGAAAAAATCGAGAGCGGCAAAGTTACAATAAAGAGCATGATAGCCGCACGAAATATCATATTATTGAACCGTTCGGCAAAGTAACTAGGGAATAACTACGCTTTCTGCTCGGGACACACTCAGTACTCGGACAGACCTGTCGCACACGTAAAGTGAGAGTAGCACATTCGGTCGGGATCAGGATTACAAGTGAGATAGACCTTTAAGATGTACTCCCTGGCCGGCACGTCTTGTTGTTTCGGCCCTAATACCATAGAACTTATTTATTTACCAATATCGAAATTAAAAAAAACAATCTCATCGAATTTTATTCAGCCTGCGTGTCTCGAGATAGATTAATTATTTAGATAAAGATCGATTATTGTGCTATGTTTTAATTTCTGAGGACATAGAAATGTATCTTTCAAATGTATCTTTATCTTTCAATAAACATTTTGCGGTGAAAGTTAATTCCACTTCTAAATATGAGATAAGATCTGGCTGATTAACAATCGGATATTCAGCACTTTATGTCGGATGGTTAATGATAATCAGTTTGCGTACTCGCAAAAAGAGGACGTTCAATATCAGTAACTTACCATCGTATTCTGGAAAGTAATCGACGAGATGAGAGTACATAATCTTTTCTTCTAGCAGATCTTTCTTGTTGAGAAACAGGATAACGGAGGAGTGTTGAAACCAGGGATATGTTATAATCGTTTTGAACAGTGCTTTACTTTCTTCCATTCGATTCTAAAAGAAATCACACACACAAATGAATTAGAACAGAGTTCAATATTTAATTAATAATGTCAATAACACTGTTCAACATCATTTAGCAACACGAGTGCGAATCATCATTTCCAATTTTTGTCTGCTGAGCACAAATCCAATTGTCCAAATTTAGGCGGTCACGTCCTAATTTTGAGAAAAATGTCAAAGATATCAAAACCGACGATTTTGAGGGAATTTGTTCTAAGAATCGGCAACAAAGTTTTTTTCTAAATTTTGAGATGTAAATGCCTACTTTTTGTATTACATGGAAAAAGAGCTATTTAAAAATTGCTACATCTCGAGAAAAAAAAATTATACCAAAGTGAAACAGAAAGCATTTTAACGTCACGATAACGTCAAAACCATGAAAATCGTATCTCTTTAATTGATAATAATGCCATTTTTAGCAAAATTGTGACGTGATAGTCACATTTAGACAACGAATTTGTGTTCAGCAGCCAAAAACACATCAGAAATGACTATTCATACTCGTGTCTCAAAAGAAAAAAAAACGGACAAATTTTGTCGGACAGTGTAAATTCTGTATATCCTGGAAGGTAATTATACCTCGTTTATTACCTCGTTTTCCGATTCAAATAGAATTTGATCATATTCACTTAGAGCTACTAAAAATATAATTGAAGTGACGTTTTCGAAACAATGGATCCATTTTCTTCTTTCCGATCTCTGTCCGCCGACGTCTACCATCCTGCAAATAACATTCTGTTAAACTGAGTACTGCTAACAGTGTGGAAAACGAAATATAGTCGAATCTTCGTAGTTTCAATTTAGAAAGATTAATGAGAATTAATATAGAAATGTACGAGGAAAAAAACTGTATTTTAAAAATTAATTAATAAAAAGATTATATATATTTCAAAATTGATGTTTTAAGATAGCATAAGAGAAAGAATATGAAGATTCAGCTATAGAGTTTTCGTGACTAGTAAAAAGTAGTCTATCGAATATGATTTCTACACGCTTTTCAATTTTAAGAAGCTCTTAGGGCGAATCGGGTTGTAAGACGAGTATAGGATGGTCTTTAAATCTCGACAAACTCAGCGAATCAAATGTAATGCGTCGCTATTGTGAGCTATGCGTCTAACTGTGCTGTGCTCTTCTTCATCTTTCGTACATTTTCAAGATCTTTTGTAGTTTGTAATAAAAATGCAAGTAAAATAGATAGAATCTTTATAACTTTCTTATTGATCGTATATGCGATTAAAAACTTACTTAGGGAAGTTTCTGTTTGATGATATGTTGAAATGTAAATATATGGATTAAATTTTATGAAAAAGTAGATTATTATATATATCATGCAAATTTTTCAAAAAATTTATAACTTCTTAGCTTTCATTTTTAATAATCTATTATAAATAAACATACATTCTCCTTTTTGATTCAATTCTAATTTACTTTATAAAATCTACAAAACATCTAATTATCCTAATTCATAGAACGTTCATAGAAGAGTACATACTTATTTCTCAATTATTTCGCAACTACATAATTATAAATGATATGAATATAAAATTGCATGCAATAGCATTATTGTAACTATACACGTTATAAACAAATAGCGAACAAATAGCATATGTAAATTTAAGCTGTTGCAGTTTGGAAAAAATTGTTCACGTCACAATAAATGCGAACAGCATAATGTCTAATTTAGTCGGATCATAAGATACAATAAATACATAAAAGAAGGTTTCGAAGAATTTTATTTTTATATTTGCTGTTCGTTCGCTTACGTATACCCATCTAATTTAACAATCTAATGTTTAAAAAATATAAAACACATGTAAATGTAAAAGACATGCAAATGGCGAAGCTTCTTTAAAATAATTGTATGTAGAATTATAAACATAGATGTGTAATTATATATAACTTCTGTTCATCCTTCTTTTTCGGAGAGATAAAAAAAAGGATATATCACAAAATTATTTAATTGAACGATGAATTTTTGTTCCAATTTGTGAAACAATTTAAATACTTTTATAATTAAAAGTTTTATTAACTATTAAAGCTCTATTAAAGCAATCGATTAAAAAAATAAATTATATACCACAGTTATTTGAATATCCTAGAAGTTTAATTCCTTAAATTTCTACATTCTCTAGATTTTCTATTGTTCTAGACGTTCTATTCTCGATTATTCGTAATTTAGAAATAATTGAAGCCCCAATACTCATACTAAAGAAAGCGATCTACTTTAAATTCACTAAAAAAATTCATTCAAAATCATTTCAATAAGGGAAAGAAAGAGATTTAAATGGTTCGCATTACTTCTTATGTATGAGACTATCTAGCGATGGTGAAAAACTCGAGCGTACATTTGAAGTTATATAGAATCGGATTGAAAAACCATTAGTACCTAAATATGATGGAGTCCAGATCAAATGGATATTCTATAATTCCGGTGGTGGGAGCTCGTGCCCGGAGGATGTCTTGCTCGGTTGGAAGGAAATCAGGCTTTTCGATACGCTCTAGGTCACTAAGATAACTGCAAAACGAAACAAAAAGCTGCTGTCTGGAAGTGCATGCCATGCGTGGTACACTTAAAAATATGTATATGTATATAAATAATCATAAAACAAGGAAATATCGTATAAAACATAGTTTTCACACATGCTTGTCCATTGGTTTAGCCTGAAAGAATCTTTTAACGCCGATGCTGAGTCCTGAGATTTACTTCTGGTGTTTTATAACATAGTTTTCGATAAACAATCGCATAAGTTTACTTAATATATAAAAGCAAAGGTCAACTCTTTTCGTATTTCGATTTCGAATAAAATTTCGGAAAAAAAGAATTAGATACCATATGTACATAGTAATCATGCAGTTCTAATTTTTATCAATATATCTTAAATATAAAAAAAATTATAGTTTGCCGATCAATTTTAAATCCTTACAAAACAAAACAAAATTAGATTTTTTATTTTCCATAGAATCAAGCATCAATTCAATCATCTATAATAATGAACGCGATTTTTATCAATTTTGAAGATTTCATCGTTAGCTTCGTTCATATATTTAACGGAAGGAAATCTCACAGGATTTAAATAGCATCGCGCATTTGAATGGGGGATAGGCGAACACTTAATCGAACAACGAATTCTAGGTGCAGCGAATAAATCACAGAAGACAAAAAAAGGATGCAGAAACGGCCCGATGCGGGTGGTTTTGCAGGCGCAGGCAGGTATCTCGCTCCTTCTTTCATCATCCTCGTCGGCCGATCGGCACGCGAAAGACACACATACCTAAATCGGATCTCTTCCAAGTCAAAGGGATATTCAATTATACCAGTGGTGGGCACTCTCACACGAAGAATGTCCTGTTCTGTGGGGAGGTACTCTGGTGACGCGACTCGATCTATCTCCATTAAGTAACTGAAACATCGTGTTCTCAATACCCGGTGTACAGGAGGGAGGACAAGGAGGAGAGGAAGGAAGTAAAGCCACCGTGAGAGAGAATCAAATCGTGTCCGGTGCGCGCGTGAATATCGTGAAGCATTGCTTCGAAACGCAAACGCAAAGAAGGATCGGGTGGGCACGTGTTTAAACAAAGATTTCGAGGAGAATCTCGGTAAAATCTCTGAAAATGAAGAGCTTATTGAAAGACCTTAAGTCAACTGTCCTACGCATTCTTTCGAGAGAAAGAGAGAGAGAGAGAGAGAGAGAAAATGGACGGAAATACGTTCCTATGTGTGTATGTGTGTTAAGAGGCACGTCTTTTTATTAAAAATTGACCCAAGTCCTTTCGAAAATGAACTGTTTGGATGTGCTTGCGTGTTCTGGAGGCGGAGGTAAAGTCCTTTCCATCGTATATCGTACGCAATTCCGATGAGAAATATTTCCTGTTAATTTAGCGAAGAATTTTCTTCTTTCGCTTGACCAGAATCGTATGGACGAATTGACGAGTAAAAACAATTTTATAAGCTACCGCATAAATCACCAGTGTCGTTGGTGCTTCTCTCAAGTGGAAAATCTTCAATTGGTCGAAAACAAATCAACGAGAGAAAAACGCAGTGCTGATGGGTCGTCCTGTTACATGAGTTTTTTTTTTCAAAAGGAAGTTCGGGGATGTCACAGATGGCGAGAAACGGGGAGGATAATCTCTCGGTGAAACACGTGGACAAGCATCGGTCCCGCGAGATAATGACGCGGCGGCGGAGTCGAAATACTTACTACTTGGCGGAATCCGTGAGCTGGTATTCCCGTCTACGATCGTAGCACTCCTGTATACCCGCGTCTTTCCACAGATCCTTGATCGCCTCCACGTACGGGCTCTCGAACGTCGTCACCGTTTCGAAGTCGACGCTCCGCACCATTTCCGCTTTTTCCTGGAGGGGAAGAGAATCGGGGGGGAAAAATGTATGAGTCCAGGGAAACGGTAAAGCGGAATCGCGACGTTACGATTTATGCCGTTTCCTGGCTTGGCGCGTATCGAAACGTACGGATACCAAGTGTACGCGCGATACGAAATTATCGTTAACCTTCTCGTATCCGCGATGTGCGGCACAGTTAACGCTTTAATTAACCCTTTAACGCGAAGCATGACCTGCGTGCGATAATCGTAAAGACAGATTTAAAGCGTTCGGCATATCTGATATATATATATATATATATATATATATATATATATATACGTTCTTGGAATCACGCAAAATTAAACAACGTGATAAAATAGGTAAATTAATTAAAGAAAGCGAAAATTATAAATAAAAAGTATATCTTTTTTTATCAAGACTCTGCCGTTAAAGTCGTTTTACACCGAGTGTCGGCTCCAATTTCGAAAATGCATGGAAAAATTAATTTAACGCATTTTGCGATACTATTTATTGCTACTATGAAATTCGTAAGATCCTCCTTTCGAGTCTACTGATGATTACGAGTGATCGGCCAAGTTGTGAACGATACGCACTATATTCGAGGAATCGCTGTACTGGATCTTCAGAAGGTCCATCGCCCGGATCATGGACTGTATCGCCATAAAAATGTTTTGGTACACAAGTTTGATAAACCCCCTCTTGTCCTCGTCCGAGTAGCCGGAGCCGTGGATAATCCTCATCTGCTTAATGAAGGTGGACTTGCCCGACTCGCCGGTACCTGCGACAAAGTTCCAGTCTCGATTAGCTCGCTGTCAAAGTAGATAAATAAATAAGGGGATTTGTCTCCCTTAGGGAGTCAGACCGTGCAGAGATTTCCGGATATATTTAAACCTTTTATATGAGATGACGAGGCGCAGATTTCTAGCGATAAAATTAGCAGGTATAATCAACGAATTATTAAGATATAAATATTTAATTTTTTTTAATCACAACACGCGTTTTGAAATTACAAATAGAAAGATAGAGATACTAGAATACAGAGACAAAACATGCTCATGCCAGATTATTTCCACCATCAGTCGGCATGACACAATGAAACATCAAAATTAACAGCATTTATGCGTTACGCACTTAAACGCTTAACATTTAATTTCACTATATATTATATAAAAAATATATAAATGTCATAAGTGCGTCCAAAAAAATTCTCGCGATATCGGTTTCTAGCTTGACACATTTCCGACTTCGCGCCTCGCGACTCACGCGAAGATTGTCCGCTTCTCTGGGAAACGGTGGGGCGATTATGCCGGTCAGACGCAAGTGGAGGGAGGGGGATTGCTGCCGGCGCGGCCGCAACGGCAGCAACAGCAGCAGCAGCAGCGGCAGCGGTGGCGATGGTGCTGGGCGCTGATGCTGTTGCTGACGGTGGTGGCGGCGGTGGTGGCGGCGGCGGCGGCGATAGTGGTGGTGGTGGAGGTGGTGGAGACGGCGGTGGCGAGCGTGTAGGTGGCGCGTGTCGCGTCGCCACCGTCGTTTCCTCACGAAATCATGAATGAACGCGACCGCGCGCGGCCGGCGGCGTGACGCGCGGCGCGGTTTTCTTAACCTTACGAATATCATTCCCAACGCGCGGGGATAACGATACGCATCCCCCCAATCGGGAACGTCATTCGAGATCGCCGGCTCTTTCCTCCAAATTGAAATTTTGCGAGAGATTAACGATCGCGGTACTTTTCGTATACCACGATAAATCACAAGAAATACAGAACACTGACATATCGCTTAATAGCTCTTAAAGATAACGTAACCATAGGATATCTATTAGGCGATATGACGTCTTTCAGCTGCTTTGAACACGTGATGCGCATATGCAGCAGTATAAGATGTCTCATGAGATATTTTATAACTGATAGATAAATCAAGAATTGAATAAAGTTCGGAACATTTAACTTGTTCCGGGTAATAAAATACATAACGGAGTTATCAACGAAAATAGCGCATTCAAAAGACTGTCAGATGATTTAACTCGATTGTAAGAATTGTCAAAAAAAAAAATTACTACGAAAATACTCAACTGTTAATTAAAAACTGAGTGAGTTTTCTTGGAGTCGAAGAGATTCAATAAGAGAACGAGGTGAAAGCCAATAATTCCAAAAATCGTATCTATATATACGTAATGGATCTTATAAATTATGAATTAAACTCATCGCGTTGTGTGTTCTTCAATGATAAAACCTTTAATCTCGAGTTTCTGAAGTTCCTTCATTATCGATACTCTTAGGTGTGAAATATTTACAAAGTTTCGATCGATAGCTTCCCTAGAAATTTTTTTCAGCTTCGTCGAAAAATCTATCATTAAAATTAAAACGATCGGGGGGAGAGAGAGAGAGAGGCGCCGCGCGTTCCGGGTAATCGGGCACTTCGAGGAATTCGCTCCCAATTCCATCTAGATAAGGAAAGGAGGAGTGTGTGTGTGTTTGCCACTCTTTCCGGCTGTGTAATAATGTTGGGCGCGTAACCTGAATCGATCCTCATGCAACGCGAGGGACACCACTGGGTGCAGAGGAAAGAGAGCTTTTTATGCGCGTCGCCAAGAAAAGACGCTTCGCGCGCCCACAAGCACGCCTTTCTCCGCCTTAATGAGGATGCAAAAAGGCCACCGGGCATACGCCGTGCGCCTTTTATCGATAAAGACAACCGTGTGTTATCAATCGAAAAAACGTATGGGATCTCGACTCCCCCTCTCGTCCCTTCGTCACTCGATTAGGAGTAAATTCTTCGCGCTACGTTAAAGGAAGAAAAAGCTTTGCTTTGTAGAAAAAAATTCGAAAGTCATTAATTGAAATCTACGAGAGACTTTCGTTGCTTATCGATTACTTTTCTAGATATCGAACGATATCAAGAAAGTTACATTAATTTACCGCATAAAATTCAGAACATTGCTTTGCAAATTTTTATAAAGCGATCTTGAATGTTAAATGAAAATTATACACCACGTAAGATAACTACAAAATTATTATTCTAGACAGTTCCGTATTATCAGTAATTTCACAATTATTTCACGCGAAATTGTGATACATATTATTTCTTAGTAATGTGAATAGTAAATATAAAAGACAAAGTCCAATCTCTTGAAGTATAAAAATGTTATCGCGATGAGTTTTCGTTTCGGGGCAATCTAATATTAAATTAGAAAGGATTGGATCTGTCGAGTCTTCGCAAGATGATCTATGAGGGAATGTCAATCTTTAAAGAAGAATCTGTTTAGATATGTTTGTCAACTTTCGTTGACATCCGGAGCGAACTCGGTTAAATCCCTGCTAGTTATTGTGCGACGAAATTCGCACGTGCAACAGCAGCACAATTATACGATACGGGGACAGTACGTTTGTCCTACTTGTTTGCTTAGGTGCTTAAGACTCCCTTTGAAGTTTATATCTTCTGAAGAGTTACGGCTCTATATCGCCGATCAATGGCCAACGATGATTACACCCTGATGACTACATCACGCGTGCGCTAATTTTCTCGCGAGCCACGCTCAGTTATTATATTAATCGCAGTTCAGTTAATTAAGATGTGCGCAGTTAATTAAACTAGGGTAATTCCCCTGTCGGTCGCTTTTCCAGAAAATTGACCAGAAAGTGGCAGACTTTTTTTTATTATCCTTTTAATTTTTTCACTTTTAATAATGATCGCAACAGATCGCACACTCTTGTAAAATTATATCTCTATTTATATATATATTTACTATTTTATTTATATATATATTTACTGTTCATTTATATATATTTACTTTTGTGTTACATACTTTTTATTGTATTTTTACATTAAAGATACATTCAAGTTATTCAGGCGAATTAAAGTAATTAATTTTAACTGTTTTATCCTCCAATTTAAGTAAAAAATATTAAAACAAATATCAAGCTATTAGAATAATTAATTATCGAAAATTAGTCTTTTATTTCTCACTAATCTATATATTAGTGCTGCGACGTTTATAATAATGAAGTCACTTTCGTTCGTCGATGGATTTCAAGATCACTCTGTATAAATGCTATTTCAGTTTCGCGCGATGTGCGTTCGCGGCGTGAGTATTAACGGGTTAATATTAGCTCGCGACAACATTCTCTGTTGATTGTGTTGGAGACACATCGGGGATGGCGTTGGCAGCGATTTCGCGGAATCCCGATCAAGATCGACTCTTGAACCGCCGTGAGGAAAAGCGAGGAGAAGCGAAGGAACAGCGGGTTAATGAATGAACGAGAGAACCGACGGTGGGCGGGACGCACAACCCCAGGCTCTCTTCCGGTATTCCTTCAACGACGTAACTAAAGCCAGAACTCTCGTTCAACTGGGAAGAGAGGAGTGAGAGGGGGAGGCGAGCTCAACCCCCCATGGAATTATTTTCCCTACGCGGAAGAGTACGCCGACTCCGGTCTTATCGAAACTCCGATCGGCCGACATCGGACGCGATTTCATTCCTTCTCTGACCTTTTCGTGCTTTTGAAAACCGCTTGACGCGATGAAAACCGTGAAATTCAAACAAGCACTGATCTCAGCAATTAATATTTTAAAACGATAATGTTCCTTTTAAGATTCGCAGAGAGAGAGAGAGAGAGAGAGAGAGAGAGAGAGAGAGAGAGATGTGCGATATAAAAATCTTGCAAACTTTGATATCATAAAATCTAAAATTTTAATCTTCCAAGGTCTCTCTGATATGATAGATCTTTGAGGATTGATGTAAAAAAGAAACGAGTAGACATAGAAAAAAACATTAAAAACCGGTTAGAATTGCAAATCGCGTTACGTGTTAAAAAAAAAAGTACAAATGCGAGAATCAGGAAGACATGGTATTTAAGTTTCGATGATTAATTTAAAAAAAAAAAGTCTCCTTTCATATCCTCGCAGCCTCTCGCGTTCCTGAAAACAGGTTGCCAGGAATGATTACGGTATATACCAAAGTTCTCCCCGCTCGACAAGTTCGACCAGTGTGCGATTCGAGAGACATCCTGTACGGGATGATCAAGGACAACGACGGATCAGAAAATATGCGCGGAGATGAGAAAACAACTCGGCTGAAATTAATTCCGCGACGGGCGCGCGCGCGCGCGCGCGCACGTAATTTCTTTTCTTTTCTTTCAAAATAATTTGTATTGAAATATGAAAACTGTGCGATATAACGCGCGGGCACAGTTGTACCGGCGTGTATAAAATAAGACACATTCTTGGTAACTGTATACCATGCGTGGATGCTGCGAGCTAAATCTGGGAAATATATCTATGTAAATCTATGTAAATCAAGCCTCGTATTCCGCGCGTATATTTAGATGCTCGAATAACCAAATGTTCCTGCGATTCGACTTTAAAAGATTTAGCCATTCGAATATTCCCGATTCGAATTACGCGAGGGATTAGATGAATCGTTCGGAATTGTCGCTTAATTTTATAACCTCCAGTTTACGAATAAATAAAATTTCGTGTCTTGAACTGTTTGACAGATTAACATGGCGCTCACTTTATGCCGGCTGCATCACGCGTTATATCATCAGGTTTTTTTTTAAGCGTTTGCGAACATTTTTTGCGTTTCTTTTGCACGTATTTTTTATGTATATACTGACATGTACGTGTGTTCTAATTCTACCGATAAAATCTCAATACGAAGGCAGTCCAAGAGTGTTCAGTATAAAATTCGATATTTAGGAACGTTCCGAGTGCTGATAATACTTCAAATTAACTCGAACATCCTGAGCTGGGAGTCCTGTATTCAGAACTTATTCG